AAAATTTTACATCCAATTTTCCATCCATCTTGATCACATAAACAAAACAACATATGACAACTATATGAGGGCAAAAAGGATGAAAAATTGGATGGATGAAAAATTGAATGAAAATTTTTAAAATCTAATGCCAAGGGAGGAATTGGCTATTTATAAAAGTTCAGGAAGTAATCGGCTAAAATTAAAGTTCGATGGGGAAATTGGCTAATTTAAAAAGTTCAAGGGGTAATCGGCTAAAATTAAAGTGTATGGGAGAAATTGGCAGCTACATACAAGTTCAGGGGACAAATCAACAAATATCTCATAAATAAATAAAACCAAATATGAATTATGTACATCGTATCAATCATCTCATCTTGTTAGCATGCGTTAATTATATACATCATATCAACCATCTTGTCATCCCTTCTCCTCTCATCAATGTGAGATTCATTATGTTTACCCTAAAAACTACTAAACATACATGCCGTGCAAGCCGAATAGCTAATGAGCTAACTACATCCTTCAGTTAAAGGTGGGCCAACTTGTCAATCGATCTTGGTCGGTGAGTAAATGAATATTTTGGTGGTGTTGGACGTGCTTCTGACTTGTGATCTGAGCCATTGCGGTCGAGGAAGGAACTCGTCTCGTCTCGGCTTTCAATGTACGGAACACTAAGTAACACCTCAACTCGCCGAGAGGCTAATGAGACCTCTTCCAACAAGGACTCAAAAACTTTTTGCTGACCGAGACTTGGATAAATAACCAAATGAACCAGAAGCAGTGTTGTTTATCCAAACTGAAGGTGCTCCTTAATCGCCTGATTCTACAACTCCAGTTGTTTATCCAAATTAAAGGTGTCGCCAGTTGCCTCTACAGTGTTGTTTATCCAAACTGAAGGTGTCACCGATTTCCTCCACTGTGCTATTTATCCAAACTGAATGTGTGTTGGTGGAGTTAGGGATGTTAGTGTTTTTCTCAAAAGTTTGAGAGGGTTTCACGTAGAGCGAGAATTTGCGCAACGCGTTTTTTGGGTTGAGTTGAAAAGCTTTAAATGTTGCGGACCTTCTTCTATTTTTTGGAGTGATGTTCATCTGGTGCCGAAGTAGAGTCCTACTCAAATTGTATTTCCTTGACATTCCCTAACCCAGACTACTAGACAAGCTTGATCTCTTTGTGAAGTTCGGTCACTCCAACTGGACTTAAGTCTGAACCTAGTTCTTTCTTCATAATTATTTCATTCCTGGTTTTGATTAGGCTAGGCTTTTATCCAAAAGACCATCATTGAAGTTAGAGGTTTTTCCACTCTGGGCCGAGCCCAAAATCATACTCGACCCAAATCCATTATTTTGGGTCCAAACGCATTCTCAACAAACATCTCATTTCCTCTTATACCCAACCAAATTGTCGCCCATTCACTCGAAATACAAGGGCTTTCTTATCTAGAGTTTTGTTGAAAGTTCTACTCTATAAAAAAAAAATTTGCTTAGATTTTTATATTTATGTTCGTTGGTACAACTCGAATGATTATAAAATTCATTAGAGGGGAATGTCTCTTTTGTGAACAAAGACATTTTTTTTAGTATCATTTAAGAAAAAGTTTCCAAACTAGGTGGGTATGAAAATTATTTTCTTTCTTTTCCATCACTTTGACATGTAGAAAACAAATATTGTGACATTTCTCATTTCTTACATAATTTTCAAATCAATTGTTTTTCCTATACCGCAACAGACGATTCCAACATTTATAGTAAAAAATAACAGTCACAATAAGTATTTTGAAGCCAGAAGTCTTTCATTTTTTATTTTAACTTTGATTTTTCTTGTTCTTTATTCCCCATCTAGATAATAAGAATAGTCACAACTCTCAAACGGATGATTCCAACATTTACTATGTTTCTTTAAAGTAGAATTGACCATTTGTTTTTTGGGTAATGTTAGGAAGACTAAATTTGTAAACAAAATTTGTAAACTAAATGATGTATCACCAATAAGAATCAACATGTTTATCAACGTTTAAATAATAATCAAATCCTTAACTTACATGTCATTTAGTTTATACAATTTTATTTACAAATTTAGTCTCCCTAACATTACCCTTGTTTTTTACTTTCTATTCACACAAACTGATAAGGAAAAGAAAATTAGTTTAACTAAAGCATCAATTGCTTTGGCTTTGCAATCTATTGCTTTGAAGTAAAGGAACTTTTTCTCTTCTTTATCTGTAACTCAAATCAATTGCTTTGAATGAAAACACACAAAAAAAAAAAAAAATCAATTCAATTGTCAGTTTTTTATTTTATAGATATTATATTAAAGTGTGATCGTATAAATCTTAGATAGATTTGGTTACTAATTATTATTTCTTTACTATGATTGTATTTACTTGGACAATAAGTATTCCCCTCCTCTTTACTACTATAAATAAAGGCATTGTATGAGGAATAATACATCTCATACACAAATTCCTACACTTTCTCCTCTCTTTCTTGCCACACCCTCCCTTTCCCTTGTTAGATAAATTGTCCACAACAGTTTTGACTTTAGTCATCTATTTTCGTCATTTAATTAGTTTTTATTTTGTTAACAATCAATAGTATTTACAGACTAATTATTTTTTATTTATAAAGGTTTTGCCCTCTCATTTGCATTTGTTGATGCTGACAAAAAGGCTAATTGGATTTAGTTTTTTATGAATAACTTGCTAAAGCAAACCCATAGACTCCTGTATGCCTTTAGTAACCAAAGCGAAATTTGAAATATAACGAACAGGGTTATTTCCTGGTACGTTTTGAAAACATGAAAGAGTTATTTTGCTGACCATTAATTCCATACTCCACTTTATGTCTCTCAAATTGTAACTGGTGAAATAGAAAAATAAAGGTCAGTTCATGAATTTTTTTTTTTTTTTTATCAAAAAGATTAGTACATGATTGACATTCTAAAATTCAAATGTTTCTTATCCTTTAGGACATGTATTCAGCGTTTTGAAATTTTGGGGAACAAGTTACCAACAATTTAGGACATTTTTTAGTCGTGAAGAAGTTTGGAATTATGGAATATTAGTATTTAGAATTAACTATGTAAAACTCCCAACTTTTTAGTGTTATTTTAAATTGGTATCAATTTTTTTAAATATTTCAAACAAGTACCTAACCTATTGAAAAAGTCATATCCATTGAGTCCCAGTTGTTGTAGGTATCATTTACTGAATAATCATAGAGGCCATAGAGAGAGGGGTGAGGCAATAGTAGAGAGAAAAAGAGAGATTGATGTGTAATTGTGAGATGTGTTCTATTTCACCCCATTGTGTCTTTATTTATAATAGTATAGGATAGGTAAAATCCTTACCATTTTAGGATTACAACTCTTAATAGCAGAGGGGGCGTTGAGGGTGCGCACAAGGCCCCAAATTTGAAGGGGCCCCCAAAAATTTTGTCACCTAATATTTATATGTAATAATATTCTATATTTAAATTGCTTTTGTTATGAAATAATGTTCTATATTCAAAAATTGATTTTGCTAGCACTTTAAAATCTCATCTTACATTATAAGCGTAATTTTTTTTTTCTTTCTAAATACAAAAAATTAGAGTACAATAAGATATTTTGAGTGCCAATAATACACCATAAAAGACTGTATTTTTTTCAATATTATTATATAATAATGTTACATATTCAAGTGAAACTTTAAAGTTAGAGTTTTTGAAGTTTGTTTTCTTGTTTGGTTGTTTAAGATTGAACTACTTTTGATTATTTAGTGAACATTATATTTGTAGCTCTGTTTACTTATTATTAATGACATTTTTAAACTTGCAATCAGTGAGTGCTAAACTTTGTTTTGATTTAACTAATTATTTTCTAGCGTCAATACATTGTCCTACATTTTTTAAAGACTTATCTTAAGGAGGTGCGCTTTATAAATTTCGCACAGGGCCCCAAAATCTCAGAGACGGCCTTGCTTAATAGGTAATCAACTCCTAATAGAAATATAAAAGATATACCTAGATCTACTAGGATTTACAAAATCACATTCCTAATCTAATAGGACTGCAACACCAGTTAATTTTTTCGTTAAATGTATGTGGCAACAATGAATCCCACTTATTTTCTTGGACACTATAATAATAATGAAAAATAACTTCAAAAAAGACATGTAGATGAAAAAATAAAAATAAATAAACAAATCCACGAATAAAATGGAAAACAAAAATGAGGATCGGAAAATCTCCAAACAAAGAAGAGGGTTATGAATTCAGATAGGGTTTTAAAGAGCTTGTTTCTACTCATGTAATTTCCTCATTCTCCGATTTTCGACTAGTAATGCTTCCCGTTCTTCTTTTTGCTCCATGACCTTCTTCTTAATGTTGGCAGCTTGAGTTGTAGGTGGAGTTTCTAGCTGTGCGCTGGGTTTGGAGGAGATGGCCAAAAGGGGGTGATGGTGATCGTTACTTGGCGGAGTCATGCTTCCATGACCTTCTATTGATGTTAGAAACAAAGTAAGCCCAGTTAATTTAATAGAAATTTAATTGAGGCTTAATAGAAGTGACATTTTCAATAGGTTAGGTACTTGTTTTGAATGTTTAAAAAGGTAGAGACCAATTTAAAATGACACTAAAAGGTTGGGAGAATTTAGATACTCCTAGTATTTACTTTGATTAATGGAGTTGCAAGTCTTGTAATTTTGATAAAAAGAAAATATCAATTAGGATGTGGCCCCTTATTGTAGCAAGAAAGTTCAATTAAATCTCTAGAAGCACTAGACGTTTAGTCTAAAAAACTCAAAAACCAGAGTCTCTATGTCAAAACGCCTCCTTAAAATGCTTAATAAATTTTTGTAATAGTATTATCACTTATCTATTTGATTTGATGAATATGAAAAGAGTGTTTGATGACTTTTTTCGAGTGTGAATAACAACAATTACCTAAAACAAAATGCAAAAAGTTTCAAGGGTGAGAGTGCCAGAGTTATTTGACTAGACGAAGAGACGTGGTTGCTACTTTGTTTGCTGTTAGCCTGTTACGTATTTCAAACATGGCATCTCTCTTGATTTGTTTTCTAATGAGTTAACGGAAAAAGTTCCCTCAATTAATAGGCAACTTCACACCCTCAAGTTTCACACATCTTCATATCTATCCATCTTATCTAATGGCTTCCATTACTAAAGAATTAACCTTTAAGTCCGTTCCTTTCATCAGAATCTTCGAAGATGGCACTGTGGAGCGCACTCCACTTCCATATCCTTCATATGTCCCGCCATCTCCTGATCAAGATCCAGAAACTGGTGTCTCCTCCAAAGACATCACCATCTCAGAAAACCCCAAAATCTCGGTTCGCGCTTTCCTCCCAAATCTCCCTCAAAATCATACCCAAAAGCTCCCCATCTTGGTTTATTTCCACGGTGGTGCCTTTTGCATGGAGTCTGCCTTCTCATTCCTTAACCAACGTTATCTCAACCTCTTGGTCTCAGAAGCCAAAGTTATAGCTGTCTCTGTTGAGTATAGACTTGCCCCAGAAAACCCACTTCCTACTGCTTATGAAGACTGCTGGGCCGCTCTTCAATGGGTTGCTTCTCACTCAAGCAACAAAGACTTGGACAGTAACAAAGAGCCATGGTTAGTCAGGTATGGAGATTTTGGTAGACTTTACATTGGTGGTGATAGTGCAGGTGGAAATATTACACATAACCTGGCTATGAAGGGAGGAGTTGAGAGCCTGTGTGGTGGTGTGAAAATTTTGGGGGCATTTTTGTCCTGTCCTTATTTTTGGGGTTCCAAGCCAATTGGGTCAGAGCCTAAAGGTGAAGAGTTTGAGAAATATCATCATTCTATAGCTTGGGACTTTGTTTATCCCTCAGCTCCTGGAGGGATTGATAATCCAATGGTGAATCCTGAGGGTGAGGGTGCACCGAGCCTTACTGGACTAGGGTGCTCTAAGGTGCTTGTGTGTGTTGCTGGAAAGGATGATTTGAGGGATCGAGGTGTTCAATATTATGATTTAGTGAAGGAAAGTGGGTGGAAAGGAGAATTGGAGCTGTTTGAAGTTGAAGGAGAGGACCATTGCTTTCATTTCTGGCTTATGATCGAGTCTAAGACTGAGACTGAGAATGTTAAGAAAGTGTTCAAACGCTTGGCTTCTTTTCTTGTCTAGCTAATAATTCCTCATGACTATCATTGCTTCATATAAATAATAAAAGGAAAAATTAGTATCCGGTCCCTAGTTTTTACTGTTCATTAACTAACACCTTATTAGTTCTCAAATTTTGATTCAAGTCCCTAGTATTAATGTGATAATGAATTTACTTGTTTATTATATAATTTTTTTAATATAAAAATTAGTAATTAATTTAGGGTTTAATACTCACACCTCTATTAAACTTCTAATTAATTTTCAATTCAAACATTTCCAAAATAATAAAAAATTAAATTAAATTAAGTTTGTACCTATTAGTTTTTTTTTATATATTAAAAAGATTCTCAATTTTTTAATCTTAAATGTACCCATTCATATAATTTTTCAATTTTTTTAATCTTAAATGTACCCATTCTCAAATATATCAATTTGTTATACGTAAAATGTACCCTTTTTTAATATAAAATCCATTCAAATTTTTTAATCCATGTTTAAACTTATATGGGTACATTCTTTTTCGTTGATTTGAGAATGTATCCATGTTTTGGTACAATAACTTTTTTTGTTAATTTTGGTTAATGTACCCATACATATATGTATATATACACACACACACACAATATAATAGAGAGAATAATTTATATTTTATTATTTTTAATCCCATAATTGTGGGTTTTATTTAAAATCTCATTAATATAAACAATTACAAATTTCAATTTTTATTTTTTAATTAAAAAAATATAGTAACTTACATTATTATATTAATATCAGGGACCTCAATCAAAAACTAAAAACTAACAAGGTTTCAATCAAAGAATATTGATAGCTAGGGACCGTATCCAAAGTGTCCCATAATAAAAACTAGATATATAAATAAAGTACATTGCATTATGTCATCTTATTAGAAGCCAACATCCTTGTTGATCAAAGTAAAAAAGGTGACCTAATTTTGATGTACTCTCCTAATTTATATGAAATATTACTGAATCAAGTGACTCTCTTCGTCGACAAGTTACGGGTGATTTTCATCATTTAATTAAGCCGCGTCAAGTAGCAGGCGTTCACTTTATGCTGAATCTGTCATCATCAATTTCACATAACAAGCAAATACACTAGTACAGTGAAAGGTCTCAAAAGTTATTTTCCAATGCAAAAGACTCTGCCTCAATTGGAATTTTCTTTAAAAACAAACATTTCTACTTCTTGCTGTTGTTGGAGGGTATTTCCAATTAATTAATGAGTTAGTTTCGCACATTTTTTTTTTTGAAACAAGTTTCACACATTAACTCAATTGTTTAGCTTGCTAAAGTAAGAGGCAAAGAATCGAATTCTTTGTGCACCATCTTCATTTTACACGTTGGCTTTCACACACTTTTACTATTTTCTTCTGAAACCTATCATATTCTATGGACGGATCGATCGCCATTTTGGACCGGTATATATTTCTGGTTTGAATTCTTTAAGTTCCACTTAGTACTTGTCGATCCATCTTTGAATCACCGTGACCTAAATTTTGATGTTTTCTTTTTCGTTCTTTAATTCACTAATTGGGGAACCAATTGTTGGTATTAAAACTCAGACGGATCCTGGACTGGGCTCAACACATATTTGCCCTGAGTGTTGATTTCAATCTCTGTGCCACGGGATGATTCGATAGAAAAAGAGAATAGATGTGCCACTATTAAAGGGTGCCAACATACAGTGTTTGTGTTTGAGAGTGTAAAAGTTACGCGTAAATCTAACTTCTTAACAAAATAATTGTGCTTCATTGAGACACTGATTCGGTTAGGTTCTTTTTTGTTCTAAAGTGAACAAGGACTTAAAATTCAATGTAACTTTGTTTGTTTTTTCCTAAAATGTAAATGAAAGAGAGAGGATATTTAATGTGAGAGACATAATGTAATCATTTTATGAAGAGGCCAAGATTAAAAGATGTGAATTAATTGGAGATATAAAGAAAATAGTAAAACTCTAACAAGATTCAGTCCATGAAAGACGAGATAATGCTAGAGGAATCCACCAAGATAATTAATATACCACACTCATGTTAACTGACAATATTGAAGGAAGTTGGGGTTTCACCGTAAAACCAATTGATAGTATGGTGAATAGTCAAATTATTTATAAACACATGATAGGTTGCCCGCATGGCAGACACACTTCAGGGAGGAACTTGTCGGAGACCTCAGACGTATTGAGATGGTTTGGAGAGAGATCATCCGAGCCCTAGGATATGATCCTTAATTGGGCTTCAAAGTTGGTTACTGGAATTGTGCAACTTTGTGTAAATAGTAATAGATTGACACCATAGCAGACCTTATTTTTTATTTATGGCCTAAACACCTGGTTAAGAAAACTTGAAAATTGTATGTTGGCCTGTTTACAAACTTTTGGTTGTATATTTAGTCATTTTCGTATGCTTAGACGGCAGTTATGGGTTTCTAAACAGATCGACAGTCATAGAGAGTAGCATTCTTATGTGGGCACGAATGCTCTTCTTTGAAAGAAAAGAGAGAGAGAGAGAGAGAGAGAGAGATTATGGAGCTAAATTACAATTCGTGAGGAACTTGTTTAGTCCTTTGAATGGGGAGCCATATGTAGGTTATAAGGAGATGCTTTACTTTCCTAAATTACAAAGAAATGAGTTATTCTTAAATAGATGAAAGGATGGGGGTATCTAGGTTAAAGAAAAACTCATTAGAATCCTTCTAATATGGGTAGTTTACAATACCCTTTAGAAAAAAGAGTATCCATATCGATTGTTGGTAGTGTAATACAATTCAGTGTAAGTATAATAACCGATCTTGACAATGCAATAGGACGTCACAATGTAAACATCAACTTTGTTACAGCTTTATATAACATTATTCTATGTTGTTAACGCAAAAATTTAGTAGGGTTAACAAAGGTGGTTTAGGGTTATGACCTGGTATCTATTAGAAAATTTTAATAGAAATTTATAAGAGATTAATAGTAGGATAAACACGAGAGGATATAGCGGTTCACCCATAATCAGGCTATATCCGTACGTTGTAGTAGTATTGTATATGTGCTTGTATATATGGATATTACACAAAAAGGAGAGAAGCCTTGAGCGTATTACAATACACAAAGGAGAGAGAGCTCTGGTGGAGAATGTGTGGTCGTCCTTTTCTTGGTGCTCATGCCTTCCTTTTATAGGTAGCCAAACCTTCTCAAGGAAGGTCAAGCATGTGGTCCATATGGAGTGGTGATGTGTATCTTCCTATCCTTTATTCAAATAGTGGTCATTCTAGAAGAGGGATGAACACTTGGGAAGAGCTGACCATTTGGGATGAGGGCTGACCACTCGTGTGAGGTGGTCATTCCGGATGAGGGTTGAACATGTTGGAATTTAGATTGAATTTAGATTGTTATTAGTTATCTTACGGGCTAAGGATTAGTTACTTGCCCATTAAGTATTTGAGTTTGTCTAAGATTTGTTTTAGGGTTTTAGGCTTTAGTCTTTCTCTATATAAGGACCTCTTTGTATTTGGTATTTTCATCTATATAAGGACCTCTTTGTATTTGGTATTTTCATCTATCAATAAACATGTTTTTTCGGGTATAATATTCAACTGAACACTCGGAAAGAGCTGACCACTTGGGATGAGGGCTGACGACTCGGAGGAGGTGGTCATTCCGGAAAAGGGCTAAACACTCGGAAAGAGCCTACCATTAGGGATGAGGGTTGACCACTCAGGGGAGGTGGTCATTTTGGAAGAGGGATGACCACTATAGCCGACCACTAGAGAGTAGATCGCTAGATACCTGGCCATATAGAAAAGGTGGTCTGTAATGTGCCACTCTATGGTGATTTAATTAATCCCCAGTTAACAAGTTTTCCATCAAACGGTGATCTAGTCCCGGTCAGAGAGTCTTGCTTTAAAAGTGTGACATAGCAAGAGTGGGACTGGGTCAACAAGATATCCATGTTAACATATGTTATGTCTAACCTTGGAGTATAAATATTAATGATATTAGGACTAAAAAAAATTCCCAAAAACCCGGAACCAAACAAAAAAAAATCCCAATTCCAAACTGAAATTTTCGAAATTTTCGGGATGAAATACCAAACTGATCCTGAAATTTTGGTAAGGGATTCGGAATTGTGTACTCAATGTTTTGGTAATCTCATACCGAGCCGAAAATAAATAATATATATAGGATCAAGGGATAAATAGTTTTACAAATATTTTTACACTTCTTTGTAGCCTTTAGATTTTATAACATCCAAAGGTTCTTATCTATTCATTAAATGACATGGATACTTATGTGGATTTAACTAATATTAATGATATTTGAAAGAAAAAGAACTAATATTAATGATAAAAATAAAATTGAAAAACATAAAATCTGGAAAAAAAAAAAAAAAAACCCTAGCTAGCTGTAATCGTGAAAACAAACTATCAGACTTTGAGCCCTAATAACACAAAAACATGAAATCTCTTCGAGGTCTACAATGCCTTGGATGAAAGTTAATTAACAAGCCATTGAAAAGCTTTCTTGTCAATCAAGGACATGCTTAAGAATTTAGTGTGAATTAATTTACGGTTTAAAACCTCATCCTTTTCTATGAAAATTCGATTTTATTTCGGATATCAAAATTCTGTTTCTGGGCTTAGAAGCATCATCAGGGCATCTTCACTGATTGAAAAAAAATGGACTTCTTTAATAATGGGGCAAGAGTTCTCTGAATCTATCTTTTAATCCCCTCTTTTTCTTCAGCCACTATGTATTGCTTGCTTTCCATGACCTGCAATTGCAGGCAACCCATGAAAATACACTATTGATACTAAGGATGATTCAAGGGAGGAGAGAGAAGGAAGAAGAAGGTGAAAGGGTCAGTTAGGTTGAAGGGAACGGTCAAGATTGATATATCCACCATGGATGATTTAGTCTTGTCATCTTAGTTAACAATGGCCTAGGGGTTAGAGAAAGATGGAGGCTGGGAAGTTTACGTTTCCCTAACTTGATATTGTTCCTTAAAATGTTTTAATTGAATAAAG